GGGAAGCGGAAGCTCGCGGCGCCACCCGCAGGGCAGCCCGCGCAGCCGGCCCCGCAGCAGCCCCTTCCCGCGGAGGAGGAGGTGAAGGCCAAAAGGCCGAGGAAATCCCGAGGGAGCGAGAGCGATGTCCTCCCCTAAGGTGGGTCTGGGCGTCTGCACCTGGCGCTGGGGACTGAGGCTTGCAGGTGCAGAGAGCCGGGGTGGGGGTGGCTCCCCACTGCGGGGGACACCGACGCCCTTCTCTCCAGAAGCTGGGCGGGCAGAATCGGGCCAGATGACAGGGTTGAGCCTTCGGAGCTCTTGGGATAGCAGAGCAGGGGAACACCTTCCAAAGAAGCTCGCCTGCGCTGCGCAGCAGGTCCCAGCCCGCGGCACCTCTGTGTGGCTGTCGCCCTCGAGGGCGGCGGAAGAACCGACGGGGGAGGCTGGTGCCGCCTGACCTTCCTCACCCACCGTGCTCCCTGCTTCCGCGCGCGTTTGCGGGCCAGGAAAATCGGAAGCGAAGCGCCCTCAATTAGGAAACATTCCACGGGGAGAAAAGCTGCAAATGTGTCAGCTGGCTTTGTTATAACCCACTTCCACTTAATTGGTTTTTATTTCTTTTGGTTTGTGAGTTCTTCTAGGCTTGGGGGGTGGAGGGGCTCCCATATCATTGCAGGTGATCTGAATCTTTCCGTTAACAATACAGTTTTCCCAGATGGAATCGTGTGAACAGAAGGTAATATTCTAGTGATAGGCGACCTTAAACCTGCATTCATAATCTTCTGTATGCCTCTGTCCCGCCTACACTGGTTTTTAGCATCGGCTGTTCCTGCTTTTCCTTTGCTCATTGTACTTCCATGTTCTGTACCTTCCCCTTAACTTGCTTTTTCTTGGTACCCATCCAAATAATTGCAAACCTTACCTGTGTAGTAAAGTCCGCCCTTGGTGCACTGTCCGGAGGAACCTGGCTTTTAATACCGCTCATTGTGCAATAGGTACTCAGTACTGATGGAGCCTTTTAAGCAAGTGACTGAGAACAGCCCAGGATATGGTGACCCAGGTGTCAACCAGGTTATTTTTATACTTAGAACATGAGAGCAAAGAACAGACAGACTAAAATGGTTTTAATACCCCACAGCAAATGGAATAACTGACAAGCCACCAAAAAGTAGACCCCCAGACCACCAGAAAGACAAGTGTCTAGTAATGCCTTGGTATGTGAATTTTTTTTTCATACAAAGAGCTGTCATAGGTGTTGAGAAAACGAAACAAAAAGACAGTAGAAGTTCATTGTCTCTTGATAATTATTTCTTAGAAGTAAATGGAAGTAAGTGTTCTTATCTGAAAAATAAAAAAATAAAATGTTTAAAGGGTATCACCACTTCAATTGTGTCAAGCCACCTTGGACAAAGTATCCATATTGTGGTTGCCTTAATACACTAAAACATTTTTGTACATAATGTAATTATAAATCTATCGGTCTGCATGGATGCAAACTGTGTGTGACAAATCGTCTTTTAAATGGTCAGTTTCAACTGTACATTTTTCATCCAAGTTGTACTCTAGCCATTGGTTTAGCGTGGACAGATATTCCATCTCTATTATCCATTTCCGAAGCCCAAGTAAAACGTGTTAAGAAGACTCAGAATGAATATGAAGTTATATCCCATGGCCGTAGATGTTTTTCAAGTCAAATGTGGAAATCTCAATTTAGTATTTTCAGTTTCCTCCCTCCTCCCCTTACCTTTCCCAAGACATCAAATACCTGGCATGGTAGATTATAGAAAGAGAGACACTGAAAGAGAGAATTAAATTTTCCAATGGGAGTAAGACTATCTGGTTTACCTCCAAATTAAGTTTCTTTACAGGAAGTTAGGACCAGCTGGAAATTATATTATCACTTCAGACACAATATTATTTCCCTACAGGGAGATGGAGCATTGTTGGGGACATAAGAGAGAAAGCGATGGGCTAACTCTGGGACTCAATTTTAAAGTCTCAAGTTAACATGCTTGCAAATATCACTTCTCTGTTGTGGCACCCACAGTGGGTTGAAATTAGCTACAGAGCTCTCCTGTTCTGTACAGTCACTATAGACGTCACATCATTCAAAGCCCACTAGGTCAGTTGCATTTAATCCTAGCAATATGTAAATTTAAAGGACTGTACTTTAAAGCCTATATCCTAGACACTCAATCTGTGACCTGGGCTGACCTTTGCCATTTCACACAGGTTGAACAGCAAAATCAAACCAGCCCTTTTCAATCTGTCATTTCCAAGCCATATCCAAGTGGTTCCAAAGTCACCAGGGAGGAAGGTTTAAATTAGTCCCTCTCACCCCACTATTGCTATGAAAAAGAAACCATTTTCATTCCAATGAAGCCATAAAGGAGTTTCTCTTCCCGTTGGATCTGAATAATAATTTCCTTTATTCCTGTAACCTTCTTCCTGCCCATCCTGCACTGTCTCTCAACCAAGTCTGTAAGCAGACTAAATCTTACAGAGGAGAGTCAGCCGGTGCTTGGAAAACTTCTTAAAAGGAGGTCTCAAAGTTGGATTGGCATTCACCTCTAGTAGGTGAGAAATTCCATATAACTTGGGGTACATTAGAATTTCCAAACCAATAAGAAATATTCCAGGAAAGATACAATTGAGTTGCAAATTACAGATGAATTGGGGTCTGTGGTTGGCATGTGTGTTAAATGCAAATCTCCATGTGCAGACCCTAAGAAAAGACTGGAAAACTGCAGAGGACCAAAGCTGAGGTGTGCTAAACAGCTCCTTGCCTGCGGAAGCCAGACCAGCCACCTATACTGCTTCCTCTCTCCATCACTCTCTATTCCCTCTGTGTCACATTCTTTTCCTTCAGCTTTTCATTAACCTAACCCACTGTTACAGCTGTTTTCTTCTGCTCTCAGGGCCCTCTTCCCTCTTCTCTTTACTCCAGGCTCCTCTTTGGACCAGCCAGTCGCCCATATAGTCAGGTGCAGGGCCAGGAAGGCAACCCAGCTCTTTTGTCCCAGATTGTGGACTTCCTTAGCCATCTAACACTGCCTGCTGGGGTTGCATTTTTATATTGAGAAGGCGTTAGGTGGTATCCACGAGACTCCATATACAGCTCCACCAAATACTTACAGTAAGAGAAACCACTTGATTTTCATTTCTCTCCCTCTTCCTACTGTCCTTTGGCAGGCAGGTATGGACCCAGTTAATAAGGAGTCTGATTAAGAATGAGAAAATAATGAAACCTAGACATAAAAATCTCCTTAAAGATGCTGATGGATCTGGCCCTACCGTACTACGTGGCTGGGTGACCACTTGCTCTTCAGCTCCTCATCTCCAATGAGAAGTTTATGCTCCTCAGTGATCTCATCTGTGGCTGCAAACCGAGGAAGAAAGGTCAAAGGAAAGGAGAGTATGTAGGGTTGCTTTGTGACTTAGCAGGGCTGGGACTCAACAGCCAAGGACAGTCCAGGAAAGGTGACTAAGGCCAGAAAGAAGATTAGCATGTTAACTCGGCTAACGTCTGGAGTGGGAGGCCATGTCCAATGGCAGACAGAATTTGTGTCCTACACACTGCTGGGTCTATAAATATGATAAGCAAGTGGTGACAGAATTATAGTGCAAGGTGATGTATTACATGCAGATCATAAAGGATTTGGTATTAGGACCTAAGTAGAAAATCCCACTCCTAGCTTATTACCCAACAATATTCAGATAATGAGATTTTGGAGACTATTTTTCCCTATCACTAGGAAGATTTACCTGGTAACTGTCTAAAGTCTATACATATCTTTCCAAAGCCTTTAAATGCCAACTGTAGCGTGGAGAGAGAGAGGGTGGCAGGAGCCGAAATGCCTCAAAAGCCATTTAAGTGTTACGTTGCAGGATTTTCAGTCCTCCTCATTATGTAAAAGTAGATAAATATAGACATTTTTCTCAAGACTACTCTATCGTATCACAATGGTCCAAATGCCAGAGCTTACAGATAATGTCATCACAGTGCCTAGAAACTCAAACTGTAATATATCGTAGCATTTCCTTGGTGTTTCTTAAGGTTTCTTTCCACAATACAAGGCTCCCTCTGCCTCTTGTTTCTTAGAGCATTCACCCCACTGACAGTCTGCCTTCCCTGTGGGACTCAGTCATTTGGGGAAGAGTCTTAGAAGCACATATCAACCAAGGAAGAAACTTCCTGGATATCTGTTGCCCACTTGCCCAGGTATAATAAACACTAAAGGGGGGAAAACCGACAAGAGTTGCCAACTAGTTGACCTGGAAGGGCAGTTCCACCCTAGGTTGGTGTCTTTCTTTTTCTTCCTTTTTAAAAAAAAAATCTATTTCTTAAATAATAATAAATGCACATGATGTGTTAAATATGTACATATATATTTCAAAAGAAAAAAATGGGCACAAGATTGTCTTACAAGTCGTGCTGGCTAATTTTTAGTTTGTATTCATAAGTGGTTTTTAAAAGCCTTTTTTAAAGTGTAATTTGCATGTTCTACTTTGATTGTATGTAAACATATTTTAGAACAAAAAATGTATTTGTATTTTATTGAATATAGAGGCAAGAAAAATTGTACATTGTTTGAAATGTTCTTTTGTAACAGTTTTTATTCATAAAGCATTTTTGTACATTTAAAATGAACATGGACTTGCTGTTATTTGAGGCGTAGATACATCTGGCATGCTTTACTGTCATGCTCCTCCATGGTCTTAGATGTTGGGTTTTAAACATTTTTTTCTAAAAGAAAGCTCAGTCTTTTTCGCTACCAGATCAGGTTAGCACAGTATAGAGCACTTAACTATTAAAAAAAAAGTTAATCCTATTCATATGTTATTCATTGTGTGAAATTAAAGACATTCAATTCAGCCTAACATGAGTTGTGAATTCTTTTGTTTTATTTTCCATCTGGTTCACATCACTAAGGAGTTTAATAGCATTTGGGGGTCTTTGCTCACACCAACTGGATACAGAATCATTGACAAAATTCTAGCCAAACTTCTTTCTGTCTTTTGTATGATGCTGAGAAGGATGTTGTGGACAGGATTTAAGTCTGACTTGCTGGGTTGCAGTTCAAAGAACATTGCATTATGTGGACATCCAGCCAGGGCTGAGCCCTCGCACTGCTGGGAGCAATCGTATTGGAAGACCCACTTTATTCTACATTTTTAAAAAAGCATTATGGATGGGGATTAAACTAGCTTCCTATCTCATGATGTCTGGTATCTGAAGGACGTGTCTTTGGCTGCACTTCCAGTTTTACTGGTGTAGAAGTAAGGATGGAGTGATAGTAAGGATGGGCTGTTTAGCAAATGGTAGTTACTGATTACCTAGCCCCGTTTTTACCTAGGAGTCTTTGCTTCGAAGGCCTTCACGATGCTTACATTTGGGAAATGAGCTAGCACTTCTAAACAGAATATGATGGTGGTTAAGGAGGTCTCAGAAGAAGGGTGGGGCCTGTACTTCTTGTCTTTCTCTCCCTACCCTTCCTGTTCCAGTGTATAGTTAGTTCTTTATAAGCTTGTTTCAAAGTGCAGTTTACATATTCTGCTTCAGTTGTGTGTAAGCACTCTCACATTTGTGGTTGATTGGTTTTTCCTTCTCTTTCTGTCTTCTGATGTGCCTTTTCCAAAAGCCAACAAGACAGGTAAGAAACCTTATGAGCTCCTCCCCATCCCTACCCCTCAATCTGATCCATGGTGACATTTATTTTAACATTCAATATTTGCAGTACCAACAATAGAGTAACAGAAGTGGGGAGGAATCAGCAGAAGTCATTAGAAGTAGACAGTAAGGGCCGGGAATATAGTTCAGTGGCACAAGCGCCTGTCTGGCAAGTGCAAGGTCCTGAGTTTGATTCCCAGTACCAAAAAAAAAAAAAA